ACAGAATCAAGTTTAACACATCACACATTTACATTAATTGGCAAAAAATTGAAAATAACAACATCTTATTTAGCAGGTTTTACAAGGAAGTAAACAATACGGCGATTGTTTTCTCACTTCAGCAGTGCAACAAACGTTAACCACACGGCGGTGGTTGAAAAACTTTGCTTCAGACATTTCTAAAAATATCTGTAATGATTTTTAGCAGATAGAAGAATTTTAAAGATGGGAAATGAAGTTTAAGTATGAGAGAGATGGGGAGGGAATTTGTCTGTTATAACCAGAAACAGCACGCTCCTTCTTTTCCAGCTTGACCCAACGGTACGCTTTGGTTGAGATCGACTCTTTTACCTTTGCAGATGGTAGTTTCAGCGTTGGTGTAGAGCTCTCCTTTCAACTCTTTCAGCGTCTCCGTAAGAACAGCTAAACCTCGGGAGTCGTGAGATCATCCAGAACAGACATTTCATAATTCCCAGATCTTCTCTCGTTCAGCTTGATTTTTCTTCCATCAGCATCCTGAATTCCAGCCTTCATGAACTCTGGAACTGCTGTCAACTAGGAAGTGCTGCACCTTTTAAAAAGGGTCACTTCCGGTTCATTTGAGGACTTTCTGATTGGTCGATGGACCAAACAGAGGTGTGTTTTGTGATGTAAGGTGTTATGAAAAGTCAAGGAAAAAGATTAAGATTGTTTAAGAACAGACAGAAGATATTATGAAGAACTTCAGACTTCGTGGAGTCAATTCTCTAGTATCTTGCTGTAAAAGTTAAACATGACATTTCTTTTTCAGTAAACTTGCAGTTGACCGAAACTTGAACTTTGACCAACTTACACACTTGCTCATTGAAGACAGAAAATCAGACAATGCATCATTAACCTGATTTCTTCTTTGAATGAGGATTAAAAATCGTTATTACTGTTTCACAGTTGATTTAAAAATGAGTAGTTCACTTCAACATGTAAACACTGTTTGAACTAACACAATTTGATTATCAAACATTTGTAAAATAGTAATGATAATCGAAAGTAGTCTTCTTTCACTTGATTAATTTAAGAAAGAAAGTCTCAGGATGGGTCAACCTGTATTTCTGGATTCAAATCAATGAAATGACAGTTTCTGTCCCATAAGGTCAGGACTTGACCTCAGGCCTAGTTCACTACAAAGTGGAAGGGCATGTTGAGTTTCTGGAAAATAGCACCAAGCGGCAGCAGGTATAAAGAGAATAGGAGGGGACCCAGTATGGACCCCTGCGGAACCCCCCAAATATAGGCCGTGTATAATGCTTAACCTTGAATTGTGACCTTAACCATACAGTGGGGTATTGAAAAGATTATGTGAAATGTTTTCTAACGTATCAGAAGTTACTGGTTAGCAAGAAGTTAGCAAGAAGTTAGCAAGAAGTTAACAAGCGAACGTTCACAGACTATACCATGATATAGCTGCCTTTGGATGGGCGTATAAAAATTGATCTACTAAACTGTTGGTTTAATGTGAATTAGTAGTGAAGGTAGAATTGGAAGTATCATTACAACAACTGTTTTAAAATATCAGATGTTTTCAAAGGTTTGTGAAAAAAAGAAAAGCTTTCAAGATCGGTTTAATGCAGATTCAGATTTATTCTGCCTGAATTCAGCTGTCAGTGAGTTTTAATAAAAACTGACTTTAATGGAGAAGGCAGACCTGTTTTTGTTCTGAACTGACCTGGGAGCAGTTAGCAGGGTGCTAACAATAAAGACTTACACCATGGCAAACGGTCTGTGTCTTTGTAGAAAAAGACTAAGGTCATTAAAGGCTTTCTATGCTGAGAAGAAAGATTTTAAAAGAACAATACGAAAGCAGCAGAGAGTTGAAGGGCAAAGAGAAAATGTGAAAATGGTTTTAGTCCTGAAAACGTGTCTAGCTGAGGCATTTTGAATCAAATGGAGTCGGGACAAACACCGAGCACAGTGCATTAAAGTAGTCAAGGTAAGAGCAGAAAAAAGCTTTTTCATTTAGACCTTTTAAAGGACCTGTCATGAGACTCCTTTGGCTAGAGGAAAAAAAACTTCAACATGTTTGATTGAAACATCTAAACTGAGGTTAGAATCAAACATCACTCGTATAGACACATCTGTGGAGAAAACATTTAATACATTATCATAAGACAAACAATGGATAGATCCATCCATCATCCATCCATTGTACTTCCATCTATTCATCCATCCATCCATCCATCCATCCATCCATCCATCCATCCATCAATTATCCATTCATTGTCCTTCCATCCATCCATCTATTTGTCTGTCCATCTACCCATCCATCCATTCATCCATCTATCCATCCATCGATCATACATTCATCCACACCCGCCCTCTTCCACTATTTATGGTTATGCCACAGAAACAATAGGTCCAGAAAAGAAACCACAACATCTGTCTTCCCAGTGACACTCCCCAGCTCCTCCTGATCGATCCATCATATGGATATCTTTGAGAAATGTATAAATAAATATATATATATAAATTTTTATTTTTTGTGAAAAATCATCAACAAGTGGGACACAATCGTGAAGTGGAATGAAATTTATTGGATGTGTCAAACTTTTTTCACAAATAAAAAACTGAAAAATGGGGCGTGCAATTTTATTTGGCCCCTTTACTTTCAGTGCAGCAAACTCACTCCAGAAGTTCAGTGAGGATCTATGAATGATCCAATGTTGTCCCAAATGACTGATGGTGATAAATAGAATCCACCTGTGTGTAATCAAGTCTCCATATAAATGCACCTGCTCTGTGATGGTCTCAGGGTTCTGTTCAAAGCGCAGAGAGCATCATGAAGACCAAGGAACACACCAGACAGGTCCGAGATACTGTTGTGGAGAAGTTTAAAGCCAGATTTGGATACA